CACTTCACAGAGTTATGATGACAATCAAGTGAAATAAGGTTTAGAAAATCTGTACAAACAGCATTTATTATTAGGTCATTGAGTATAATATTGTACTAAAGAGATTAAAGTATCTCATGTAGATATTTGGTGGACCTGGTTATATTCTAGACTCTCAAGACACAAAGATGCTGAGGAATAAGATATGGCCTCAGCCTTTATTCAGCTCACAGGAATTGGCTGGAAGAAGGAAGCAATGCAATGGAGATAAGGATATATTATTGTTTTTTCTTCTGGCTATCCTACAGAACTGCTTACCTCCTCTGCTCATGCCTCTGATGATTGACATTAGCAAGACAAATCAAGGAACAAACTAACCTGAATGAGAACAGGAGAAAAGAGCCTTAGTTTACAGATTTCAAAATCTTTTCACCCATAATATTTTATTTACTCCTCATCACCTCTTTGTGTTATAGAAAATCTAGGTAGTCCTGCTTTTGCACACAAGAGCCTCAGGGAGTTACTTCTGCTGCCCAAGATGGTATAAATGAAGAGCCTAACCTACAGCTCAAATTTTGCGATTCTAAACCATATATATTGAGCCCACAGAGACAAATGATGACTGTAACTAGAAAAGCCATTTTTTCATTTCTAAAACCTAATATTATCTACACACAATTTTCTGAAGTTTACATTCATAGTTTAAAAAGACATTGATTTAGGCTTTACCGAAATATGCCATCTGTATTTGTAAAAACCTCTTGAAGTCTATTGCCTATCTTGAGGAGCTAAGATCAGAGTAAATACTTTCATTTGGATTTCAGATGCTTTTATCTTCACGATGCAGACACTCGGGAGGTAGCCAATAAATAAAATAGAAGGTCCCTCACCCAAGCTAAAAATATACACTCTTTTTCTTCTACCTATTTTTGTTCATCCTCAAAGGACTCGGTTGAGAATATTTGTCAAGATAAGAAACATGCAACCCTCAAATGCCACTAAGTGTTTTTAGAGGAATGAAGTGCAATTTTAAAAGGGTGAGATTAGCCTGCTCCTCCAGCTTCTCTCTTAAAGTGAAACAGAAATGTTATTAGAATGAAAAGTCACAACAGCTATCCACCATTAAAAAATCAATAATTACCCATTTTTTTTCTCTGTTTTTTTAAACAGCAAATTGTCTGAGATTGTGGAGAAATAAAGAACCTAAGAGATGTCTGACCTGCTTATATGGAAAGTGAGCAAAGCCAGAGAGTCAAGGAAATTCAATGCATAGCTGCCTTGAAAGAGATGAGTAGGCAGCCACCTATCTGGAGGGGTCTAAGGTGACAGGTTCCACAGACTTCCTGTCTGTCTTGGTGCCAGCCTCCCCTTCTCTCAGACTTGGTATTTATCACATTGGACACCAAAAGTGATGGGGTGTGGGAGGAATACTGTTTCTGAAGGGCATAATTAAAAGCCAAATCATTTCCTTTCATGGATTGTCCAAGGAATTTGGGGAGAAAGGTGTATCAGGAAGTTTTCATGTCCATACTTTTTCAGAAGCTAAAATACCAGACCTTTGCTTTTCCAACACTTGTCAAAGAAGAGAATCTCCTAACTGTTCCACATGACTACCCTATCCAGTGGTTAGGGATGTGTCTTTGATGGGTGTAATGGAAGTCTCCCAGGGAAGACAGTATCTCTACTCTAATTCTTTAAAAACATGTAGGTGGTAACCAGGTGATACAGAGAGAATCTGAGAAAAGTACTGTCCCATAAGCCTACAGTATATGAAAGCACGGTGAACTGGAGCTTTGCAAGATGTCACCTAAGACTGGCTGGTCTAGAGAATTTTGTGTATTAGGCTAAGGACTCAGGATACTCTTCTTCAGGGCAGTGGCAAGCGAAATTTTAGAGTTACAACACATTTTTAAGAGTGAAAGCAATGTGTAAGGCATCCATATGAGAGAGGATGTAATACCATATGGATGTAATACCATTACCTATTAATTTAAAATATTTGAAATGACAAGCTAGGAAACTCAAATGTGTTTCTAAGTGAACATGCATTTGCTTTTAAAACTTGAGTATTGAAATAGCTCAGCAGATAAAGAATCTGACTATAATACAAGAGACATAGGAAACATGGATTCAATCCTTGGGTCAGGAAGATTCTCCTAGAAGAGGAAATGATAATCTACTCTAGTATTCTTGCCTGAAAAATCTCATAGACAGAGGAGTCTGGTGGACTATAGTTCAAAGAGTCACAAAGAGTTGGACATGACTGAGCAACTAAGCACAAATTTAAAATATCACATGGATATGGAGGTGTAATTCAATCAACGAATAGGGAACAGGGCACATGTGTCTACGAACTCAACAAGACTCCTTCTGTACCCTGTACCCTGGGGCTGGAAACTATCAAGAACATGGAAAGTCACTAAGAAGTTTTAGAAAGAGGATGAGATGGTTGGATGGCATCACCGACTCAATGGATATGAGTTTGAGCAAACTCTGGGAGATGGTGAAGGACAGGGAAGCCTGGTGTGTTGTGGTCTATGGGGCAGCAAAGAGTTGGACACTACTTAGTGACTGAACAACAACAAAGAGAGGAATAGCATAGCATGATCAGATAACTCATGAGAGAAGTAATATGATCAGATAAATACTCTAAGCCATTAAAGATTTTTTATTACTCTTCCTTGGAGAATCTACATTTAAGAAGGAACAATGATGGACATGCTTAATGCAATGGGATAAATTGAAAATGGTAGTTTGCGATTGGTAGTTAAGGAATTTGGCATGAGAACTTTGCAAGTTCTTCAAACCTCAGTAAAGAGTAAGTCAATACTTAATAGCTGCTAGAATAATACATAGCATAAAAAACTTGTATGCTGGGTAATAAGAAAAGAATCATCTTCTCTTATTACCCAGCACTGTCAGGGAAAGGGGCCATATATAACACATATGGATGATCAGGTTTCAAAAAATGTTATAGAGGCAGACCTCTATCTCCCTCAGTCAATGCTACCATTTTCTGAATCAAAACACCCTTTTCCCCTGGCTGTCTTCAGGAAAGTCAAGCATTAAACAACACGTGTCATCCTATTGAATTTAGTCACATTAAAGTATGAATAGCTAATAACTCTCTAACAGGATATCTTACTTTTAAAGGAGTTGTTGTTCATTCATTCAGTCATGTCTGACTCTTTGTGACCCCATGGACTGCAGCACGCCAGGCCTCCTTGTCCATCACCAACTCCCAGAGTTTACTCAAACTCATGTCCATTGAGTCAGTGATGCCATCCATCCATCTCATCCTCTTCCATCCCCTTTTCCTCCTGCCTTCAATCTTTCCCAGAACCAGGGCCTTTTCTAAAGAGTTAACTCTTTGCATCAAGTGGTCAAAGCATTGGGGATTCAGCTACAGCATCAGTTCTTCCAATGAATATTCAAGATTGATTTCCTTTAGGATTGACTGGTTTGATCTGCTTAAGGTCCAAGGGACTCTGAAGAGTCTTCTCTAACACCACAGGTCAAAAGCATCAATTCTTCAGTGTTCAGCCTTCTTTATGGTCCAACTCTCACATCCATATATGACTACTGGAAAAATCATAGCTTTGACTATATGGAATTTTGTAGATAATATAATGTCTCTGCTTTTTAATATGCTTTCTAGGTTGGTCATAGCTTTTCTTCCAAGAATAAAGTGTCTTTTAATTTCATGGCTGCAGTCACCATCTGCAGTTATTTTGGAGCCCCCCCAAAATAAAGTCTGTCACTGTTTCTATTGTTTCCCCATCTAGTTGCCATGAAGTGATGGGACCAGATGCCATGATCTTCGATTTTTGAATGTTGAGTTTTAAGCCAGGTTTTTCACTCTCCTCTTTCACCTTCATCAAGAGGGCTTTTAGTTTCTCTTTGCTTTCTGCCTTAAGGGTAGTGTCACCTGCATTTCTGAGGCTACTGGTATTTCTCTCCCAGCAATCTCAACTTCAGCTTGTGCTTCATCCAGCCCGGCATTTCACATGATGTGCTTTGCATATAAGTTAAATCAGCAGGGTGACAACATATAGCCTTGATGCACTCCTTTCCCAATTTGGAACCAGTCCATTGTTCCAGGTCCCATTCTAACTGTTGCTTCTTGACCTGCATGCAAGTCTCTCAGGAGGCAGATAAGGTGGTCTGGTATTCCCATCTCTTAAAGAATTTTCCAGTTTGTTGCGGTCCACACGGTCAAAGTCTTTCACATAGTTAGTGAGGCAGAAGTAGATGGCTTTTCTGGAATTCTCTTGCACTTTCTATGATCTAACAGCAATTTGATCTCTGGTTCTTCCCTCTTTTCTAACTCGAACTGAAACATCTGGAAGTTTTTGGTTCACATGCTGTTGAAGCCTGGCTTGGAGAATTTTGAGCATTACTTTGTTAGTGTGTGAAATGAGTGCAATCATGTGTTAGCGTGAACATTCTTTGACACTGCCTTTCTTTGGGATTGGAATGAAAATTGACCTTTTCTAGTCCTGTGGCCACTGCTGAGTTTTCCAAATTTGCTGGCATATTGAGTACAGCAGTTTAATAGCATTGTCTTTTAGGATTTGAAATACCTCAGCTGTTAATTCCATCACCTCCACTAACTTTGTTCATAGTGATGCTTCCTAAGGCCCATTTGACATCACACCATATGATGTCTGGCTCTAGGTGAGTGATCACACCTTCGTGGTTATCTGGGTCATGAAGATATTTTCTGTATAGTTCTTCTGTGTATTCTTGCCACCTCTTCTTAATATCTTCTCCTTTTGTTAGGTTCATACCGTTTATGTCTATTGTGCCCATCTCTGCATGAAATGTTCCCTTGGTATCTCTAATTTTCTTAGAGATCTCTAGTCTTTCCCATTCTATGTTTTCCTCTATTTCTTTGCATTGATCACTTAGGAAGGCTTTCTTATCTCTCTTTGCTATTGTTTGGAACTCTGCATTCAGATGTTAAAGGAGTAGTTGTTAAACATGAAGGATGTCTCTTTGGGAAAATTATTATAGGGATAATGGAAAGAAGTATAGTGGCTCATATGGTAAAGAATCCGCCTGCAATGCAGGAGACCCAGGTTCAGTCCCTGGATTGGGAAAATCCCCTGGAGAAGGAAATGGCTACCCACTGCAGTATTCTTGCCTGGAAAATCCCATGGACAGAGGGGCCTGACAGTCTACAGGCCACAGGGTCACAAGAGTCAGACACGATGGAGCAACTAGCATTTTCACTCTTTATACTTTTGAGAAGTAGTTTTTCTGGACTAACCCTACCCTACCATTTCTCTAGTATCTTGTGGTTCTTTGATAGCAACTTTAAGAACACCTATTATTATAGACATGTGAATGAGGCTTAACATGAATACTGTTCCAAAGAAAAAACACCACAGAATGTGAACCAGATCCTCCGTAAGTAGTATGCTGTTATCCAGACCCATAACTTTGGACAAATCATTTCAGCTTAATGGGCCTCAGTTTTCTCATCTCTGGAACAAAGATGGAGAAGAATAATTTCTGAGGCCAGCAGGGTGGCTTTTAGTGTGTGTGACTTGTGTTACTGGACTGGTTATCCCAGGCAGTTCATTGATCTGACTGACCCGGTAGGGGGATGTTCCCTCTGCTCCCAGGGCTTCAAGTGCTTTTGCTCCCAGCCTGCTAGCTGCTGGTGACTTTGCTGAAGAGAAGCTGTGTGGAGAGAGGAGGACTGGATCTTTTTTAATAATTTATTTTAATCGGAGGATAATTACCTTACAATATTGTGATGGTTTTTGCCATACATCCACCTGAGTCGGCCATAGGTATACAGGTGTACCCTCCATCCTGAACACCGCTCCCGTCTCCCAGCCCACCCTACCCCTCCAGGTTGTCACAGAGCACCGGCTTTGCGTGCACTGCATGATACATCAAACTCACACTGGTTATCTGTTTTACATATGGTAATATATATGCTTCAGTGTTACTCTCTCAAATCATCCCACCCTCTTCTTCTCCCACCGAGTCCAAAATCTGTTCTTTACATCTGTGTCTCCTTTGCTGCCCTGCACATAGGGCTGTTGGCACTATCTTTCTAGATTCCATATCTATACATGAATATATGGTATTTGTCTTCTTCTTTCTGACTTACTTCACTCTGTATAATAGGCTCTAGGTTCATCCACCTCATTAGAATGGACTCAAATGTGTTCCTTTTTATGGGGACTGGACTTTCATCCTGAGCGTATGAGAGGATTTGTAATGTCTGTTCCAGTTCTGACATTTTCTGAACCTGGATTTTTCTTGTCACCCTGAAACCATGTCTCATAGACATGACAGAAGCTGATGGATAACAGGCATTCTTGAGCTGGTCTTGCAGAGCAACAGATACTTGTTAAAATTCCATAGAGGAATCTAGAGCCTGTTATACAGAGTGAAGTTAGAAAGAAAAAGACAAATATTGTACACTAATGTTTATATACCGGCTTCCCAAATGGCTCAGCAGGTGAAGAATCTGCCTGCCAGTGTAGGAGATACAAAGCAGGCAGATTTGCTCCCTGGGTCAGGAAGATCCCTAGAGTAGGAAATGAACTCACTCAAGTATTCTTGCCTGGAAAATTCCAAGGACAGAGGAACCTGGTCAGCTACAGTCCATGGGGTCAAAAAGAGTCAAAAACTCATATGTAGAAATCTAGAAAAATAGTACTGATGAGTCTACTTGCAGGGAAGGAATGAAAATGCAGAATGAACTTGTGGACCTGGTGGGGGAAGGAGAGGGTGTGATAAATGGAGAAAGTAGCATTGACATATATACACTATCAAGTGTAAAACAGGTAACTGGTGGGAAGTTGCTTTATAACACAGGGAGCCCAGCCTAGTTGTGATGACCTAGAGGGATGGGATTGGGAGAGGGGAGGGAGCCCCAGGAGGGAGGGGATGTGTGTATAATGATGACTGATTCATGTTGTTATGTTGTAGAAGCTAACATAATATTGTAAAGCAATTTTCTTCCAATTAAAAAATAAATTTAAAAAATCCTTCTGCTTGTAAATTGCCTTTAAGCTCACCTTAGGTTATTTTTTCCTTCTTTTGCTTCCCCTGCACCCTGTCTTTTTTTTTTTTTTTAATTTATTTTTAGCCACACCAAAAAGCATGTGGGATCTTAGTTCCCCAACCAGGGATGGAACCCATGCTCTCTGCAGTGGAAGGGCCAAGTCTTAACCATTGGACTACCAGGGAGTGGAAGTCCCACCATCCCTCCCCAATCACCATGGCCTTTAAGTTGTATGCCTTCACAGCTTCATATAGCCTCAGGAATTTGGAGTCAGCTCTTGTCCAGTGCAACTCAGTTAAGGCTGGTCGGGGCCACTGACCCTAAAACTGGGCCTGCACAGTTGTCTGATGAATGTCATTTTGACATCAGAGGGCTGGAAAACTCCAGCCTCAGATCATGAGAAGCGCCTCCATCCTGAATATGCAAAAGTACATAAATAAGATGTGCTGTGCAGAACACTGATTACCTCATCTTTTCCCTAGGTCCAGCCACCTTTCCCCATGCCTAAGATCACCCTGCTTATCCCATAAATAGCCCAACTCCCTCCCTTTCAAGGAGATGGATCTGCAACTTCTTTCATCATTTCATCGCTTAGTTGCCTTGAGAATAAACTCCTTGGCCACAAACTTTGGGATCCAATGTTTTGCTTGCAGAGTGTTGGATAAAGAGAACTGTTCTGTACCAGTCCCTGTTCTTCTGGTCAGTAGAATTGTGAGTGAAGCTCGAGTAGACAGATATTATGGCTTTCACTGCTAAATTAAAAAGTAATAAAAATATATTCAGTTAAAAGAAATAAGCAAATATCAACCTCTGTTCATCTTTATTCATTGAAGCCCCTAGGCTCTAATTCCTCTTTAAGTGTCTGTGAGGTTTTCAATGGTACAATCTGAGGTAAGCATCTATTTCTCATAGGTGATAGGTCCTTCCTGTGGCAGACAAGGCACCACTTCTTCAAAATATAATGAAGCTTTCCAAAGTCACCTGCAGGAGATGACTGCCTGTCTGTCTCACACCTAGGATTCTCTCAAGGTGAGAGCACTTTGAAAATGTAAGCTCATTAAATAAGAGACCTGGCAGCCTGGCCATGTGGGGCTGGCTACCAAGGATTGAACAAAGACTGCCTCCTCATAACCTTGATGTTCTAACATAATTTCAATCCGTGTTTTTAATTGTTTCAATACACTTAAACACTTGAGAAAGTAGAAATTGACTGAAAAGTGGAAAAGCATGGAATTTGAACGAGGAATTTGCCAAATAAGAACTAATTTAAATGTAGAAGGCACTGAGGCATTGGAAAGCCATCTGAAGAGTTAAAGGTGTTTGGAAAGTAGTTTGTGAGCAAAATAATTTTCAAAATACTACTGATTCAGAAAATGTAAAATTAGCAAAAGATTTTGGAGATCACATAGCTTGGAGAATATGGCTTACATCACTAACAGGTGATAGAATGGACTCCCACTAGGGCAGGGGTGAATTTAGCCAGTTTTAGTCAAACTAGAATCAGTGATCTTAATGTTTTGAGGAGTCATGTGTGGCTCCTTTGGTCTAGTGAACTGACTGGTATCTGAGAGGCAATCTGACCTCTAAACTTTATCCTGCCACTGATTCACATACGGACCTGAGACATCACTTATTCTCTATGGGGGTGACTAAAGTATTAGTGACCTTTGCTCTAATAAATGTTTCTTAGTGGAAACTCTCAGAAAATCATCCAAGATAATGACAATAAAAAAAGGAGAATAGATGGTACGGAAATGATTCAGAGTGCTAACATCTACATTCAAGCATCTACATTAAATATAGCTAGGTTTTATTGGAATTGTTAATGAGAACTCACCAAGCAGACATTCTCTAACCTGTCAACTCCCCTCTCCCACTCTCCCTTCACATGAATTCTCATCACTAACTCTCTGTAAACTAATTTTATTTATGCCTCTTTTCTGCATGAACAACTTCCCTGGTGGCTCAAATGGTGAAGCATCTGCCTACAATGCCGGAGACCCAAGTTCAATCCCTGGGTTGGGAAGATCTCCTGGAGAAGGAAATGGCAACCCACTCCAGTGTTCTTGCCTGGAAATCCCATGGACAGAGGAGCCTGGTGGGCTACAGTCAATGGGGTTGCAAAGAGTCGGACACGACTGAGCGACTTCACTTCCTGCATACCAATTTTCCCTTTTGCCCAGTCCCAGTCCCACTAGTTGTATAATCTGAGCCCAATACGTAAACTCTCTGAGCACCAAATCTAAGGTCATAGAACTAAGCTGTTTGCAGTGGCTCGTGGATTTCAGGATCTTTCACAAGTTCAGGAATAAATATGCTCACTATTTCAGGATCCAAATGATATAATGAGCTGAGCCAACACTAACAGAGAATACCTGCATCAGTACGTTGTTGCCATCGGAATCCAGGGGAATCTAGTGAACAGTGTATGAATATCAGACACTTTGTTATCTCCCTTTCTGAATTTTGCATGTCAAGCTATATTACAGTTGAGGTTTACTAGGAGAGGGATCTTCCCACTTGTTGTTGTAAGGAGCATAGTGAATAAAGAAGCCTATCTTAAGGGAGAGATTCACATCAAGAATGTTTAGAAGTCAAGAAGGAATCAGAGATTGTTATGTAGATACATATTTAATATAATAAATGTGATTGTGGTTACAGATACACATTTGGTGCTTTATCAAGTAGCGTAAGTTATGGAGTACACAACACACTGGATACAAAATTTGAAGATAAACACAATTATTCCTAAATGAAAAACATGGGATACATGCTGATGAATGCACTTCCAAACTTTCACTTCCACTCTTTTCTCTAGGCTGGTCTCCTGAAGATGAGTTGTGAGTTGTAGCAGTCTTAAAAAAGCTCAGTCTCCCAAATTCTAATAACATATGATATGAAAAGATCTTTAGGCAAAAATTATCCAGATTACGTCTCTCCATTGGAAAAATGCTCAACATTTCCCATTGTTTTGTTTATGCCTTAGTATATACATGTTTCTAGATAGGGAGTTAAATGCTTTAATTGTATTCATTACTAGATAAATGTGGTTAGACTCAGCTATTTTAAATGTATCCTCATGCTGGAGGAGAAAAGAAATGGAGACATAGGTGTGAAAGAGAAAGGAAAATTTTCTCAGGTGAGAAAAGAAGAGACTTATCAAACTAGATATAAATGTTGAGTTGAATTTGTAGCTTCTCTACTAGACAATAAGATTATTGTTAAACTGTGAGGTGAGGATGGTACTCCAAAGTTTGGTTATCTGTCTTTTCCCTTTACTCTCTGCTGTGAGTTTCCATTCAAAGCTATTAATGTCTTAGTTGGAAGACTTGATCAGTTACAGGATGGTGCGGGAAGCCTTTCTTTTAATATCTATAGCTCTGATCTGCCACATGACCTGTTTGGGTGAAAATACGTTTAACACAGGGAGTAGTTGCTAAATTGTTAAGGAGCCTTGTCCAAAGCAACTATTAAACACACACTTATCTAATAGAATGGAGACACTGGAAAACCCATAAACCGAGATGTAATAAGACCTCATGTCCAGAACCTACAGAGAGTTGTCTGGCCCTTGGGTTTGGACATTCAGATATTAGAAACTGCATTCTCCATGCTCTGTTCTCTGGCACATGCAAACCCACTGGGGAAAGGATGGCCTCTGTGTTTCTTCTTTTATCTAATCAAGACTCCCTAGGATTTTAAAGTGGAGTTTCACATCTAGCTTCCCTGTTAATCAAGAAATGCCTTCCTGCAGATCTTGGTGGTGACGCCAAAAGGTAGTTTGATTTTCAATCAAGTGGAGATGCTCTTAAATGTTTCCTAGTGAATGGACTCACTTTGCACGTAAGTCTACGCACTTACTTCTTACCACTTCTCACTCCTTCTTTCTGCTCTTTCTTTTCTCATGACCCTATTTCTACCAAACTTGCTAAATTACCAGGAAACAAAGAAAATGGCTATGAGAAGGAATGATTTCAAGAGTAAAAATCATTTCCCTGAAATACAAATAGCCTTTGAAATGATTCTCAAATTGTCAAATCTGTGATGGGACAGATAGCTTGACAAATTCCTTGCAAAGAATTTTTATTAGTTTACCAACTGATTTATTGTACTTTGTGAAATAATAATAACTACACCCTATTGAAAAGGAGTGTATACAGAGAACAACAACCAAGCAAAATCGATGGCTCTGTAGAAGGCAAAAATAAAAACAATTTCTCTAACAAATTCTTCTCCTTATGCACTAAAAACTGAAACCTGCTTAAAGCATAATTTTACAGTAGAGAATGAAGACATGGGTGGTTTTGGGAGTGGGGCACAAAATGTGTTTATAAATTTGCTTCTACTGATTTGAAAACAAAATTACTGAAACACATCAGTTCTACATTTCAGAAGGTGTCTATTTGTGTGTGTGTGTGTGTGTGTGTGTGTGTATGTGTGTGTTGGTGGTTGCTCATATGAACAAGCACTGCTTTAGCAGATAAACACGGAACACAGCCTCCTAACTTACTCTACAATAGGTAGTGTTCCTCTTCGTTCTGATCAGATGTAGATACTAATCTGATGCCAAGCTCAAACTATATCAGACACAAGCAGAGAAACGGCATGGCAGTTACCCGGCCTCCCTAATCTTAGGTTCCTCTCAAGGATGAGAAGCATGTACTCCTGTTCCCATTGGCCACCTCTCTACATCCCAGATCTACACAGGGCTGTGTAGATTTTCTCCAGCGAGGAACACATCAGCGCCAAAGGCTCCTCCACTGAGCTTCGTACTTGCCCAGGCGATTTACTCAAGGGAGACTGGGGAGGAAGGGGAGGAGGGAAAGGGAGTGATAACAGACATTATGCTTTTCCTGGAAAGATCACCCTAGTTTTCCTAACTTCCCAAAATTTAAAGGAATGCTATTTTGTTTGTTTTACCATGGAAACTTTTGGTAGCTCAGGTTTTTCTCTTCTAAGTTTAAAAACACTCTCAAAATATGTCAAAGAACTTTCTAGGACAATGTTTATATGTTTGCTTTTTCATTTGGGACTGTGATATTTATATTCCTTTTAATTTTTTACTTAGAAGAGGGTCCAATGTGTATGTTCATACTGCTTTAAATTTAAAGTCATGTTTACATATATACTACATGTCACCAGTTGACTACAAGGCATTCATGCTTCTTGTAGCCTTCACAACTCTGTCTCCCTGGTGCTTGTCCTGCTTTTTCTGCCTCCTGTGTTTTCAGCTTATGAAAAGGCAAAGGACCTTTTTATCCTCCACTGACAAGTCTACCCACTTACATAGGATGTGCAGTCAATTTGTGAATACGGTAAGTTTGAGTCTTTGCAACATCAACCATCTGGGTGAACTTTCTAGTCTCTAGTCAATTCTCTGGGTATTTGTAAACATCTGGTTAGTTCAAATAATATGAATAAAATATTTGAAATTTTAATGACATCCAAATTTTCTTAAAAATGTTTTAGCATTTCAGAAAAGACAACTCACTTAGATTCTTTGGTTCTTAAATTTTCTAGCTGCTTCAGCAAGTATAGGATTGGTGATTTTATACCCCTTTGGGGCAACATAGATAGATGCGGAGAAAGATTGTGCTGGGAATTCTTGCTGTGAGTTGCTTGTCACCCCTACACAAATAGACACGGTGAGAACTTTTTTATGCTCACAATGTTGACCTGGCCTGTCAACCTCTTGACAATGCAGTTTCTTTGAAGTGAGCAATATTGACAAATATGAAGCAACTCATACTAGACTAGCAATTGTTGACACTAGACCCAGTCACATTTTCAGAATTTGAAATGGCAAGTATTCAGGAAGGGCACATTAGTCTTTGAAATAACAAAAATAAGAAAAACCCAACAAATGTGGTCAGTGTTTACCCAAAGAATACAGTCATATAGTTGCTTAACTTTCAATATTCTTGGGAAATGACTGAATTAATAGGTTACAGACATGTGAAACTAAGAGTTTGTAAATGACAGAAAGAAACAAAAGGAGGAAATACAAGACTAAACAATGTAATCTTCTACTTAAACATTTAAGATGTTTATTAATCCCTTAAAAATCACTTTTTTAATTAACTCAGTATCCTCACTTGGTTACCCTCATACACAGTTGGACTCTTTATTACTAGATTATGTATTGCTTAATCAAATCTACTAAAGATAATAAGAAATGCTAGTAAGACTTATAATAATGAAATACAGCATTAAAAGTTTAAACTTACTAAAAATTGGCTATGCGTAAGGCATGTTAGGGGTATAAATGTGTGTTTTGACTATAATACAATTCATTATTATGGTGAGCAAAATAAGGAGGGGAATGAGCAGTTGCTAGAAGATCAGATCATTTTGCAAAATGCAGGGTACTGTAAAGCTCTATCTCACTCAGAAAGTCTCTGCATTTTATCAAATTATTTTCTGAAGATAATTTGCTATTTTGAAGGTAATCATCATTTACTTAACAAACTGCTTGCATCATAGGACAACTACCCCTTTTAGATCTGACAAGATTCCCCATTGTAGTGGATAGCCCTCTTGATACAGAGGTGGAAGACCACTGCAATGAGCAGCATGTTTTTGTTTTACACGATTGGAATTAGCAATTTTGGAATTTTACACTCACACAAATTTTAACTAATTTGAAAATGGAAACTTTGGGCCTACTTATTAGAGGCATATATATATTTATAAAGTAGTCCATTGTCAATCTCAGATTACTGATTTAGTACAGAATTTAGTAACTTTATGTGTGGGAAGGTCTGAGGGAATTATAAGAAACCCCGTGGATTGTGTTCATATTGATTTTATATAAACACAATATATTCTTGGCTGTATCTCTTGTTTATAATCTCTAGTTAACACAAAGATGGTCTCAGAGGAAGACCAACGTTTTGAACAATGTATTTGCTTAAAAAAATCAAATAGTGGTTGCCTCTTTTATAAAATGCTTACCACTTTTTACTAACCAAATTCAGAAAATAATGAGTGGCCTCCCTGGATCAGAATTAAAACAACAAATAAGATCAATTAATCTCACTTGAAATTGGTTTTTCCATGTCCATATTCTTTTTCTTCCCAATTTAGATGGCAATCCATTACCAAGTGGAGCCACATTCATTGATATCATATTTCTGCTTTATATTTCCCTAAGTAGAGTTTTTCTGTTGTTCTGATTAAGTTTCACAACAACCTACAAGAGTAGAGCTTAACTGAGAATGGGGGCAGGAAGGGGAAACTGGAAAAGGAAGACATTGGGGCAACAGATAATCATCCAAAACAATGGGCAAAACAGCAAGCAACCCTCCTTGGGGTTTTCCGTCTCAGAATCTTTGCGCAAGCTGCTACAGGAAGATATGTGGGTTGCTGGAAAGTGCAGGGTGATTATGGACGAAATAACTCTCAGGACGATTCTCACGGCCTGACTGCATTGCTACTTGATGAACTCCTGGTAGAATTCAGAGCGCACAAAGCGAGGCAGAGAATCCTTCTCCATCAGAGCATGGACTCTCTTCTGGGCCACATCAAAGCTACTTGTGGAAGGTTCCACCAAGTTCTTCACGGTGATTTCCTTTGTGAAGTGATCAATATTCACCTGTGAGCCAGAAAACAGGGTCACTGAGTCAGCCCAGGTTGTGGGATTTGAGGAGGGGTAGGGAGAAAAGTGTCTCTCACATAACACATGAGGGGAAGAGAGGCATAGGAAATTAGAATAGCTTATCACTTCTATTTTATATACAGTAGGGTAAGGCAACTGGTGCTTCAACAAATGCATGACTCAGATTACAATCTAACCAGTATTAGGCACCCAATATTAGAAATAAACAACCAATTCAGACAGACCTCATATAAGCTTCTCAATAACCCTAAAAAGTGAGTCTTTCCTTTTCTATGTGAAAGGCAGATAGATAGGGACTTCAAGATCACAGAGCTAGTAAATGTATTTGAAGGCAGAGACTCAGAATTTGAATTTAGGTGTCCTGATGCCTAATCCCATAGTCTTCCTACCACAGCATTTGGTTTCACCCCAATAGGGAGAAGGAAGAGAGAGAAATTCTGATCAGGGATCCAAGACTTTATGCATGTCTCTAGAAGAATAAGGAAACTTGTTTTTTTCCTGAAACAAACAAAGACACAATGGTTTTAGCACAACATTCATAACAATAGCAACTAACATTTATTGAGTGCTGAGAACTTTACTTTCACCAGCACTGTGCTGTGAACTCCTTGAAACTTACAACTCTGAGAGGCAATACTGACATCCACATTTTACAACTGAGGAGCAGAGGAGTTAAAGTGATTTGCCCAAGATCATAAGTGGTAGATAAAAGATTCAAAAGCCCAGCAATGTTGCTTTTACCCAGGAGACTGGAGTGTTGGGAGGCATCATGGCTTATTTGGCCTGAATGCAGGGCTACTACATTGTGTCACTCCCAGGGACATCATCCGTGTAGGGTCCATGTGAATGGTCCCCTGGGCTTGTGCAATGTACAGCCTGCCTGGGCTTGCCTGAGTATGATTTGCAAAAAATCACTGTTTATCATGTCGTTATTCCAATGACTCTTGTATCTGAGTGTACAGAAGAAACAAAACCCAAATCAACCAATGATTTTGAACTGAAACGTTAGGAAGTGCTTGGGTCTCTCCTGGGCTGCTGAAGTTTCTTGATGCTGAGAAAAGTTATTTGGGCTCAGAGAATTATGGAGTGTCTTTAGGTCAGAGCCAGGGACAAAGGTGTGACTGGGGACAGCCAGGCCAGAACAGACAGGAGTGACTGTGATCGAAGGTCCAGGATGACGTGAGTTGAGGCTATGATATGTTTTCCACAGGTGAGAGCAACCTGTTTGTCTTATGCAAGAATGGTGGAAACTTCACAGTCTGCACTGGAAACAGCCTCACAGGGAAGGTAAGATGTCTGTCTTCACAGGTGAAGACTCCAAGATCCAAAGAGGTCAATTTACATGCCTACATGCAGCTAGTGAGGAACAGTCTGTTCTTCACACTAAAGCAATGCTTCTTCCTTCTCTTAAATATATACTGAACTAGATGAGCAGCCAGCCTTACTCAAAATAGTTGAAAATTATAATGCTAAAAATTATAAAATTTCTAACAATTATAAAATTTCTAACAAAAATAATTATAAATGTTTTAACAATTATAGATAATAAAATTTCTAACAATTATAAATTTTTTAAAGAATTGATATGTTTTTTAAAGAAGTGATACATATTTTAACCTCTGTAACACATAAATAGCAAATAACAGCTATTTTTCTTATTATTTTTATGTACATGGGCTCCTCTAATGAATCATTTTGATATATACTCATCTGTATACTACTGAGCAAAGAAAAAAAATTTTAGTACGATATGGACATACCAATTTTTAGTACACAAATTATCTGTTTATCAAACTATACAAGGTAAATTCTCGTTTTTAAATCTCAGTTCCAATTTTTTACCACGGTATCTCTCCTTCAGTTCCTGATATTAAGGAACTGAAGTGAATATTCAGATAAAGAAAAGTTAGATTGCTATTTGCCTGGGTGAACTTGTTATACAGGTCATTCTGGCATTCATCGAAATGAGATGGGAGGCCTGCCCTGGTGGTACAGTGGATGCGAGTCCGCCTGCTAACACAGGAGACGCAGGTTCAGTCCCTGGTGTGGGAAGGTTCTACACGCAGCAGAGCAACTAAGACTACGACGCTCAACAGTGGAGGCTGTATCCTAGAGGCTGCAAGGCGGAACTACTCAGCCTGAGTGCTTCAGCTACCGAAGTCTGCGCCAAGAGCCTGTGCTCTACAACAAGAGAAGCTATCGAAACGCACTGCAAGGAAGAGCTGCTCCTGCTTCTCACAACTAGGGCAAGCCCACACACAGCAACAAAGACCCAGTGCAACCAAAAGTAAATAGTAAAAAATAGGTAAATAAATAAAAACATGTTTCTAAAAGTGAAATCTCAAATTTTTGTCAAAATGCAAGCTCATTTTTAAAACAATAGCTATAATTTACTAAACATCCTCTGGGTATATACACACACACCACACACATACATGAAATTATTACAATTAAAGAGAATTGAGAATTAGAAAGCTTTAGCGAGAAACTTGCCCAAAGTCATACATCAAGAAAGGTCTGGAGTCAGTATACCTATATCCATTCATCTCACAAACATTCACAGAGTTTTTATTATATAACAGGAGTGGGATTTACATCCCTCTGATGCTCAACTCAGAGGCTGGATGCCAAAGCTCTTTTAATTAGAGCCCAGAGGTCCTTATAATGAAGGGCATCATTTGTGTATTCTAGTAACTCAGCAAGGTTTTTATTTATTTTGAAGCTCCATTCTTAATTTCTCATATTTTCATGATACCCATGAGTGTTCTAGCAAGGAACTTTGAGAACAATGTTTTCCTAGGGCTCAGAGCACCTAGCAATAGCCTGGATGGGTCTCCATCATCTGCATATATTCAAATCCTAGACTTCTGTGAAGAGGAATGAAGGTGGTAAGAAGATAGGTTGGAAGTGGGAAGTCAATCAAAGTCAGGAAATTGTGTCACATTTAATATGAACAGTACATGAATGTCCTTGGTAACATCACAAATACGGATCCCTTGCTGACAAAACAGCCCAGCACAAATGGCGTCAGAAGTAAGGGAAAGCCAATACATATGCATGCGGTGCGAGACTGAGGCATAGAAGAGGGTTCTAGAGAGGATTCCAAAATAATTCCCACAGCAAGACTAAACCCAGGCGCATGATTCTCACGTTCCCCACCGTGACCTGTAGTACTCTAGAGTCTCTGCTCCTCACCTCCACCGCCTGTGTCATGGAGGTGGCTCATCTGTTGGCATTAGATATGTAATCTAATTTGATTACTAGATTTTAATAATCCATTCGGATAAAAGTGAAAATGAAAGTGAAGTCGCGTCCGGCTCTTTGCAACCCCATACACTGTAGCCTATCAGGCTCCTCTGTCCATGGGATTCTCCAGGCAAGAATACTGGAGTGGGTTGCCATTTCCTTCTCCAGGGGATCTTCCCAACCCAGGGATCGAACCCAGGTCTGCCGCATTGTCGGCAGACGCTTTACCCTCTGAGCCACAGGGGAGCCAAAAGTTGCCCTTTAAAAAGGATCAGTGATGAGTAATGCGTTACCAAAGGAAGGAATATCAAACGGTAGACCCTCACGAGTCTTGAACACCTGTGAGAGAAAAAGGATATGAGGGTTTCCCTCTCTCAAATCGTCTTAAGTTAATCATTGCCTGCCTAGAGGGTTTGCTCAGATCACCTCTGTACCTCACCTCAAATTTTGATGAAATGTTTGATATCCAGATTGAATTATAGTGTGCAATGTGAAATCGGTGACCTGACCAAAACATGATGAATGGGTCTTGCTGAGGCCATCCTGAATTCCACAAAAAATCTTTTCAATTCAGTTTCACAAATAGGAAAGGGTAGATAAACTACCCTAAAGCCTCTTTGAAATCAACACACATCTTTAACAGTTAATTAATATTATATTGTCCTCCAACATCTGTAGCACTGTTATCATGTAATCATTTGATTTTCATGAGTAGAAACCTTGTCCAGACCAGAGAATAAGTGAAACAGCCCTAGGGGAAACCAGGGAGTGGCAGAGAATAGGATGGAAAAGAGAGAATTTTCACCAAAAATGAAAAGGAAGAGAGGAAAGGGGAAAGGTGAAAAGATGAAGTGATAGAAACATTCATCAGACATTGATTTGTTCAAATGCTGAGATATATATTTTCACATCCACTGTTTAATTTCATCCTCACAACAATCCTGCAACATAGTTTTCATTATCCTCATTTTCCCAAAGAAAGAAACTAAGTTCAGAGAGACTGAGTACTTCATCCGAGATCATACAACATGTATTATCCTCATTTGTGATTACATGCTACTGAAGAGAGACCTACACTGCTTAGAAAGTGGTCTAAGCAGAGTTCAAGTTCATATCTGCTTGATTGCACTGCTCTGCTTTTCCATTCAGTAGGTGTTTAAGAAAGGTGACCCACTCTCAAATAGGAATAACCTTTAGCTGCAAACTGTATTGCAGATGGAAATCCTTCCTGGGAAGTTGTTGAGCTGACCCCCATTGACCACCCTCACCCATCTTCCAATCAGGACCAACCTCTTTAGGAGCCTCCGCTTGGATGAATTCTTCATAAATTTTCTTTGCCATCTCAGCCATCTTGACAGGGGACTTGATCTTCTTGTAATCTTCACAGGCCATCCAAAACTCAAGATTCTCCTCACTGAATTCAGACTTCAGGAAATTTTTGAAGCTGGCAAGTCCATCTAGCAAGGAAAAAGGTTATTTGAGGAAATGTATTCTATCTATCTATCAGATATCTATCACTATATCCCATGTTGTAGCCTAGGTTTATTTATAACACATTTCTGTTATTTGTGTAATAACCTTACTAAAGTTAACTCATTTGTTAATCATTACAGACCTAAGAGGCAGAGGCTGGTATATCCTATTTTACAAATGAGGTCAGAGAGATCAAGTAACTTTCTATTAGTTGACCAACTGGAAAGTGGCAGAGCTGGGATTTATATGTGGGTGATAAAGGTTTAACCGTACAGAGCATTGAGGAACACTGCAAACACTAACACCATTCTGGATACTGATCAGTTACCAAAAAGAAAAAAATACCCTTAAAACTTGATTTGGTAGTGTATGTAATATTAATGTTGATTCTTGCATATCAACTACTTAGTTTTTTTCTTTCTAAAGTTGATTTTTGGAGTAAATATTATGTTTGAGGAATTATAGTAAGTAAAATAGACATGATACCTGCCCCAGTGAAGATTCTGGGGAGGTAGAAACGAAAATGAAGAAACATACACAAAAAACGTATACACAACAAAAGAAAGCAATATGAAAGACAGTAAGAGTAACAAAAGGGTCCTAACCTGATTTTACATTTAAAGAAAACCTATATGAGAAAGTGAGACCTGAGACCTGAAGGAGGATGGTAGGGGCCTGAAGAAGGGGCCCACGTGTAAAGCAGTTACTACACCCATCAATGAAGCATCAGTCTTTAGAACATATTAAATTAAGTGTAATTATGACTGCTGTGGTTCTGTTTTCAGAGTACTGTTGCTCATATAGAGCTTGTAAACCCAGGTCTCCTGCTTGTAAACCCAGGGCAGATTCTTTACAGTCTGAACCACCAGGGAAGCCCATATATATGTATATCTTATGCAAATATGTATATTAGAGATTCTTGGGTCTGATCCTTTTGTTTTCTTTTTCTTTCTTCTAACCTTGTTCTACAGCTCTAAGCTCCAAAGTGGTAGGTAAGTTGAAGGCAAGGTCAGGAATTAGGAAGGAAATGAAGAGGAACAAAGGAAAAATCACTTTATATCTTCAATATTTTCCTCCTTTTAAAGCTGACATAGATAGATAGTTAGATATATATCTAGCTAGATAGAGAGATATAGATAGATAGATGATTGATAGATAGATAGATACTTTATTTTAACCCAAATTCCAACAAATCTGTATGTACTGAGTGAAAATTCATGCATATTTATTATGTAAGGTAAGTGGACTTCTAAAGGAAGGAGAGAAAATTTTAGTTCTCCACAGACTATATCAGAATCACAGGCATGCCTGGCCTGGCATTTGCCTCCCAGGCCGAAGGCTGGACTGACTGGTACATCAACGTCTACATTTCCTCTAACTTGTTCCTCATCAGAAGACACTTCTACAATTCATTAGTTTTACTTGGAGAACATATTCATGTACTGAATTCATTTCCTTTGACCTAATTTTTATTTCCATTCCTCTCGAATAGTTCTCCCTATTTCTTTTTATAGATTCTAATTTTCATTCATTAGTCATTGCCCAAAACAACGATTTCAAACAATATGCACAAAATATAATGATTAAGCCAGAAATATAACATTGTCTTTTTTTAATTTTCCTTCTATACATTTTGTCTTTCTATCCCTCACAGTTCCCAGCAATTGCACTCAGTATTAAAGAAACAAAATTGCTAAGTTATAATTAACTTGAATTAGGGTCACTGACAATTCTGGATCCAAACAAGAAACTTTGCATTTTAAACCCTTCTCCCTGTACTTAACATAAACCCATTTTTTTTTCATTGAGCAACACCAAAAAATACACTGGGGAGTGATGGTAGGTATGATAAACAATTGTCTCTAGTAACCGACCTAGAAGAATTGCTTTAAAACCACTTGATAATGTTCACCAGGATAAGATCAGATGTATTTTCCTTCACTCCTGCCCATATTTCCAGCACTATGTGCTTTCATAGGCCATTCAGACATGAGCTAAATCAAATCCCTTACAATTATACAGTGGAAGTGACAAATAGATTCAAGGGACTAGATCTGATACACAGAGTGCCTGAATAACTATGGACGGAGGTTCGTGACATTGTACAGGAGGCAGTGATCAAGACCATCCCCAAGAAAAAGAAATGCAAAAAGGCAAAATGGTTATCCAAGGAGGCCTTACAAATGCTGAGAAAAGACAGGATGGGAAAGGCAAAGGAGAAAAGGAAAGATATACCCATTTGAATGCAGAGTTCCAAAGAATAGCAAGGAGAGATAAGAAAGCCTTTTTAGCAATCAATGCAAAGAAATACAGGAAAACAATAGACTGGGAAAGACTATAGATGTCTTCAAGAAAATTAGAGATACCAAGGGAACATGTCATGCAAAGGTGGGCTCAATAAAGGACAGAAATGGTATGGACCTAACAAAAGCAGAATATATTAAGAAGAGGTGGCAGGAATACACAGAAGAACTATATAAAAAAGATTTTGATGACTCAGATAACCATGATGGTGTGATCGTTCACCTAGAGCCAGACATCTTGGAATGTGAAGTCAACTGGGCCATAGGAATCATCACTGTGAACAAAGCTAGTGGAGGTGCTGGAATTCCAGTTGAGCTATTTCAAATCCTAAAAGATGATGCTGTTAAAGTGATGCACTCAATATGCCAGCAAATTTGGAAAACTCAGCAGTGGCCACAGGACTGGAAAAGGTCAGTTTTCATTCCAATCCCAAAGAAAGGCAAAGAATGCTCAGACTACCACACAATTGCACTCATCTCACACACTAGCAAAGTAGTGCTCAAAATTCTCCAAGCCAGGCTTCAATAGTACGTGAACCGTGAACTTCCAGATGTTCTGATTTAGAAAAGCCAGAGGAACCAGCGATCCAACTGCCAACATCCATTGGATCATCAAAAATGCAAGAGAGTTTCAGAAAAATATCTACTTCTGCTTTATTGACTACACTAAAGCCTTTCACTGAGTGGATCACAACAAACTGGAAAATCCTGAAAGTGATGGGAATAACAGACCACCTGACCTACCTCCCGAGAAATCTGTATGTAGGTCAAGAAGCAACAGTTAGAACTGGATATGGAACAATAGACTGGCTCCAAATTAGGAAAGGAGTACATCAAGGTTGTATATTGTCACCTGCTTGTTTAACTTATATGCAGAGTACATCATAAGAAACACTGGGCTGGATGAAGCACAAGCTGGAATCAAGATTGCTGTGAGAAATATCAATATGCAGATGACACCACCCTTATGGCAGAAAGTGAAGAGGAGCTAAAGAGCCTCTTGATGAAAGTGAAAGAGGAGAGTGAAAAAATTGGCTTAAAACTCAGCATTCAGAAAACTAGATCACGGCAACCGGTCCCATCACTTCACGGCAAATAGATGGGGAAACAATGGAAACAGTGACAGACTTTATTTTTGGGGGCTCCAAAAATCACTGCAGATGGTGACTGCAGCCATGAAATTAAAAGACGCTTGCTCCTTCGAAGAAAAGTTATGACCAACCTAGATAGCATGTTAAAAAGCAGCAACATTACTTTGCCAGCAAAGGTCCGTCTAGTCAAAGCTATGGTTTTTCCAGTAGTCATGTATGGATGTGAGAGTTGGACTATAAAGAAAGCTGAGTGCCAAAGAATTGATGCTTTTGGACTGTGGTGTTGGAGAAGACTCTTGAGAGTCCCTTGGACTGCAAGGATATCCAACAAGTCCATCCTAAAGGATATCAGTCCTGAATATTCACTGGAAGAACTGATGCTGAAGCTGAAACTCCAATACTTTGCCCACCTAATGCAAAGAACTGACTCATTTGAAAAGACCCTGATGCTGGGAAAAATTGAGGGCAGGAGAAAGGGTCAACAGAGGAGGAGATAGTTGGATGGCATCACCAACTCGATGGACATGTGTTTGAGTAAGCTCCAGGAGTTGGTGATGAACAGGGAAGCCTGTCGTGCTGCAATCTATGGGGTCGCAAAGAGTCAGACATGACTAAGCGACTGAACTGAATGAACTGAACTGATGTGTTATCATTTAGTGACATAGGAATCAACAGTACATGCTGAAAGAAGAAATAAAGACTGAGTTCTCTATCATCCTTAAATTTTTTATTGTTTCTTAAACAAAAGGTGTTCGTTAGTCTCTGCTGAAATGAGAAAATTTCCAGGCACTTTCTAGCTGCTAGGAAATGATGATAGGAATGAAGTCTAATGAGCTCCCACATTATCACGTGTAAGACTGTAGAGGAAGCAATAACTTCACACAATAAGTGTAGGGCCAATTAACTCTCATTAGCCTCATGTCTCCATAACATAGTGATTTAGGCATTCTGAATCACCCTTTCCACATCCTTGAAAAAGGTAGAGCTAAAATTCTAGTCTTCCAAAACATTGTTATTTATGACCTGAGGATACTTTCCAGGATGCCACAACAATAATATTTACCACATTACCAAGACATCCTAGCCAAGGAATGAGCTCAGAAAATAACTTTCCAGTGTACTGAATCCATTTCCTGGATTCGTATAAGAGAAGCGATCACTTTTTTTTTTTTTCTCATGGGATTGCTACTATGACTCTTTCTCCCAGGATGCTGTTGATTTATCTGAGTTCAAGGTTCGAGTTTCATTTATCTTTGCCCCTCTCTCAAAAGCATCCCACCTCTTAGTATAAATCTGTGGACCTAATATTTAAAAGAGGTTCAAACTGAATAAAAAAAGACTCACTGAGATAAAAATTTCCTCCTACATCTCAAAACCGAAGAGCACAAACATTAAGGAAAAATAAATTTACTGATTTTGCTATTGCTGTAGTATTTTATTTCATGGGCAAGTTACCTAAACTCTCTCTGTCTCAGTTGCTTTTTCTGAAAAACATAAATTGTTTGCATATCTAAGTGCTAAAATTATTGAAATCATTAGATAAGCTAATATATGCAAAATGTATAGAACAGTGACTGGCATATGATGAATAATAAATGTAAGCTACTGCTTTTTCATAACTATTGCTTTAAAGAAAGTTGTGACTACTAGTGAGTAAGATGATGATAAAGAACAGGCAGACAAAAGAAGGGAGAAAATTGGAAATCAAAGAAGAGAAATAAAGGAGAATGCAAAGACAGAAAGAGGAGCCCAGATCCAGCCTATTCCATTCTCCATGTGAGAGTCCAAATCTCAAAGATGTTTCAAGAAACTGCTCTGACCTTTTGGAATTCCTGGGGCAAAGAGATTCACATAAAAACTCTGTGGCTACTGGCTTATGCTTCATTCTTCCTCCACTCTTGAAAAGAGTCGTGTGGAAGAGTTTAAGGTCACTGTCTCATTTAAGCGCCCACATGCAATCTGTGTTTGTGTTTGAAAAGCAATGCATCAGTTATACACCCCATGGACCTTCAAAAAGAAAACAGATGGTTCTGTATAGAAAACTGAAGATGAAAACATAAGAAATTGGTGTTTTTTCAGAACAGAGTCAAATATACTGGGCAATTAAAAAAGATTTTGAACAGGTTATTAGGTAAGGCCTATTAGGTTTTAATCAGCTTAATATAATCAGTAAAAAATAAATAATTATTCTCTACACAACACAATATTGTAAATCAATTATATATCAATAAAGAATATTTTCTTAAAAGAAAGAAAAAAATAAATAATCTTGTGGAAGAGAAAAGATTGAGTAGCAGCTTAATGGTCTTAGTTTTTTAAAGGTTTGGTACCAAATGATTTCATTTTCACTCAAAAAAATTTAAGTAAAACATGGATTTAAGGAAGGCTTGGGGGACTGTATCAATGATGAGAATCAATATCCTACATTAGCACAAGAGAATGTCAAATGTTCCTCATAAGCCAACAAACATAACACTCTCTGAGGTTAAATGATTTAATTTATCAAACAAACATGCAAGAAGGAATCATGATGTTTCTAGTGCATGTTTTTCAAATGTATCTTTCTTTATTACCTATTCTGAGTCAATCATAGCTAATGTCAGAATCATAATAGTTCTGGTTATAGACCATTAGTTTTTGCTGATTCAAAGAATATCTCATAAGAACTGAGTTGCCAGTTTGGCTTAGTTATCCACAATGCATGAAAGCTAGTGTTTGGGGAAATATGACAAAAACTGTTTCTTTTAGGTGGATGGTGTTGGGGTAGAATTATTTGGGCACGTGTCCTTCTTTAGAAATAGACAGAAGCAGAGACAAAGTGGCAAGAAAGATGGTGTCATAGAAGCAGAGAGAGATGGGGAAATGGAAAGACAGAAAGGAAGAGAGACAGAAACGTGGACAGAGAAAGAAGGTGGAGGGAGGGAGAGGCTATGCTATGTGCCCAGGGCACCACCTCCTTTAGGGGCTGGCTGTTTTTAATTTCTGTGAGATCTCTGTATCCATACCGGAAACCCTTTTTATTATTTGTGCTCATTTGAATGGATAAATACCTTTTCAAGGAAAGACTTTTGACTGGAACAGTTATCAAATGTTTTCCCAATTATTACTTGCGGAAATTGTCCAAATTTTAAAACTCTTAATTACTTAAGAAGATAATGATGTGGAACTTAAGATTATACACACACACATATATACTCAAGATACATACATAGTATATATAATTTTAAAATATTATATCTAATTAAATAAAATTTGAATCTTACATATATATTTGCACACACATATATATGCATATACATACTTCCCCTTTAAGAAACAGAAAACATTACTGCAAGAATATCAGATTTCAGGCTTATACCATGGAAATCAACTACTTGCAAGCTGAAAAACTTCAGTCCCAAAATGCTAGGTGTTACCAGTAAGTGCCTCTGGCTTAACTTATTCTAATAGTTCTCTATCTCCTAAAAGCCTGAAACATATAAACATGTGGCCCTAAGGATTATTGTGACTGAAAAGGATTGTGAATGGGCATATAAATTTATATCTTTCTCTTTAATAGTTTTAAAAACATGACAACAGTTCTTCTAATTTTGTTTATTGATAGTAGCAATAAATACATGTACCCAGGGTATGCATAATTCATTTGTCAGGTATTGGCCCTAAAACCACAGGTAACACAATAAATAACTCAACTGATAAACATAAATATTTTTCTCCTAGTTGACTTCATGAAATTTCTGTGTCCAAGAAGGATAATGAAGTCATTTATTAACCCAGTTATTCAATAAACATTTGTTGAACACTTTATATGCATCAGGACTGAGTATTCTGTTTAGCATAAGAAATAAAAAGAAAATCAGGTAACTGAATCACTTTGCAGGACAGCAGAAACACAACATTATAAATCAACTATACTTCAATAAAGTAAATTTTTTTAAAAAGAAAATCAAAAGTGGAAAATATTGAGAAGGAATACATGTAAATCCATGGCCGATTCATGTCAATGTATGGCAAAAACCACTACAATATTGTAAAATAATTAGCCTCCAAATAATAAAAATAAATGGAAAAAAAAAGAAAGTTTCATATTAGTGACTTTGGTCACTATCTGCCTCCAGATATTAGGTATTGATTCTATCAGAGGTAAACAGATCACCTCACCAAAAACAAGACAAAAATGTTTGTATACATTTCAACATACAGCCCTTGCCACCTACTCTATGTCTCTGAATCCTGATGGTCCTGTGGGAACTATTTTCTAAATTCTTATTTTTGCAAAGCATTGAACAAAGTTTCATAGTCAATTTTTATAGTGAAAATGGAAAAATGTGACTTAGATAATTTACATAAATACTATTTTTAGGGAGAACGATTCAACATTTCTGTATTACTGTGCACTTCCTGTTTTGAAATTATCCAAATGAAAAAGACTAAGTCCTGGTTGTCAATGGATTTATAATCTGTTACAGGAGGAAGACGCTGTGATCAGAGCACAATGTAGCAAATAACAAGTGGCGTAAAAATGTGCAAACAAAATGCACTGGAAACTCAGAGGGAACATAAATCATTCTGGATGGTCAAGGAAAACTAGGCATTTAGTATTTAGATTCGCTCTAACGGGAGAGGAGAATTTCAACTGATAGAGATACAAATACAAAATATTCTAGTCAAAGGGATTACACATAGAAATGGAGGGGAGAACAGTTCAGTTTGACTGCAGACCAGCAATATAGGTACTATGGAGAATTCTAAGAACTAGAAATTTAAACTTGATACTTTAGACCTTGGGAATCAGTAAGGATTTTGGATTGGGCAAAGGCAAATAGTGCTTAGGTATATTGGTATTAGCTTGGGGAGGAGTTCTTGCTTTCACTTTTGTCACATCTTGAATGAAGGTATAAAAGGCATGCAGCCAGAAGAGGAAAATAAGACTCAGCGAGGTTAACAACCTGTGGCTGGTTACAAAAGCAATGAACAGCAATTTGAAATACCACCCAACCCATGCCTCAGAATTTAGTGATATGTACACTGCTATACCCAATCCATATTAAGCCACTATGAGGCCAAGATGGAAGATGCAGTGTGTCTATTTTACTAATGGAAATTTTAAGAAGAACAGAGGCCGAACTACTAGCTCTGCTCATTCAAGTGAGCAGGACAGATGGGAATACAACCTGCACTCAGGAGCCCTCCAGACAACTCATTTTCACATTCTCCCAAAGTGAGCTAGATAATCATACTCCCTTGGCGTCCTTCCAAAGTTGAATAAGTGTCAAAATTTGAGAAGAAGGCACCGGCAACCTAAAGCTGCCTTTTTTGGGCCTCTTTCCCCTGACCTTTATAAAGATAATTCAAATTTACGATTGCTCTTTTTTCCCCAGACTTACAATTGTTCTGCAGGAGCTTGTCCAGGGAATCACGCCACTGCAGGGCCTCGTCCAACGAGGGTCTAAATTAAGCATTAGGAAAGAAAAAGGAGACAGAAAAAGATGCATTAGAAGGAAGTTAACCACGTACACCAACAATGACTTGGACCTGCTTTTTTTTTGAAATGTTATAGTTGATGACATTCTCGGAAAAAGAGAGTTACAGTTGTTTTATTCTGATCAAGCGGGTTTGATGAGCTGGGTTTGATTTCCTACATCTATCTTGCATATTTTCATCTTTGCTGAGCAATTTGGTTAGGGTTGTCCCTTTTCAGAATCAGAGAGTATTTGTCTCGCAGCTCTGTCTTGATATTCTTGAGCATTCCATGACAGTGTCTCCAACTGTGGTCTTTTCTTTCCAGATATAACTGAATAAAATCCAGTTTTCCCACTATGGGTCTTGAACTCATGTTCCCTGCTTCATCAGGACTACACTTTATACACCAATTTAACCCACAGAGATCATTTTTTTTCTGATCGTTGCAGGATTTATTCATTTCACACATGCCTTCTCTCCCTGGCTTACAAGGAAATCTGCTTATTAAAACTACAGAACTCCTAGTGGGAGATTATATGCTGACAACCGAAATTTTAGAATCCAATAAAAAATAGATAAAGCTGAATCTCAAATAATACAAACAAATCATCTCTACAAACTAAAGGATACATTTAGGAAGAAGTTTGTACTGCACATTTATAACCAGGGGCCGTGAGGCTCAGCCCTAACCTGAGGTCACTCAAAGAGCATTTCTTTCACATTGACAGGGAATTGCTCTCTCACTGGGGCTGATGGAAGATGCAAGGTGTGAAGCTGCCTCCTGGTGGGAATATTGCCATAGCAGGTCTACATTTTTAAAAATCTGGAATTAAAAAAAAATGTGGGGGGTACATCTCTGGTGGTCCAGAGGTTAAGACTCCGTGCTTCCAGTGCAGGGAATGTGGTTCGATCCTAGACAGGGGATGTGGTTCGATCCCTACTAAGGTCTCATATGCTGCATATCATGGCCAAAACTTTTTTTAAAACTCAGGTGCATTTTCCTGGACAAACAGAACAGGATAATGAGTTTCTTGTTTTGTTTTGTTTTAAGATTTACTCTTACTGAGAAGAAAAGTGGTGAGACTGTGAATAGGAATGTTGTATACAAACATTCTGGATGCTGATTCAAAGGAGAAGTAATGGTCAACATACGATCTCCCCTTCAGTCAGTCCATTCAGTCTCTCAGTTGTGTCCAACCCCATGAGTCGCAGCACGCCAGGCCTCCCTGTCCATCACCAACTCTCGGAGTTTGCCCATCGAGTCGGTGATGCCATCCAACCATCTCATCCTCTGTCGTCCCCTTCTACTCCTGCCTGCAATCCCTCCCAGCATCAGGGTCTTTTCCAATGAGTCAACTCTTCGCATGAGGTGGCTAAAGTATTGGAGTTTCAGGTTCAGCATCAGTCCTTCCAATGAACACCCAGGACCGATCTCCTTTAGGATGGACTGGTTGTATCTCCTTCCAGTCCAAGGGACTCTCAAGAGTCTTCTCCAACACCACAGTTCAAAAGCATCAATTCTTCAGCGCTCAGCTTTCTTTATGGTCCAACTCTCACATCCATACATGACCACTGGAAAAACAATAGCCTTAACCAGATGGACCTTTGTTGGCAAAGTAATGTCTTTGCTTTTTAATATGCTATCTAGGTTGGTCATAACTTTCCTTCCAAGGAGTAAGTGTCTTTTAATTTCATGGCTGCAATCACCATCTGCAGTGATTTTGGGGCCCCCCAAAATAAAGTCTGACACTGTTTCCACTGTCTCCTCATGTATTTCCCATGAAGTGATGGGACCAGATGCCATGATCTTAGTTTTCTGAATGTTGAGCTTTAGGCTTTTTATTTTAGCATTTATATTTGCAGAAACTCTAGCTACTTTGTTTTAATTACCAGTTTTTCTCTCACAGCAGGATTGTGTCAAGTTGGGCAGATATTGTCTGAGGAAAATGTCTGACTGTGCTCTCCCGGGGCTCACTGGCTCTAATTTTTGTGTTATGATGTGAGTTTTTCATTGTCAGATCAAAACAGACTAACAAGGCATTTATTAAAACATTAAGGCCAATGAAGGTATCTTTCCTAAATTGAAATTCCTTTAACTCTTAATTGTTTAGCAATTGTTCAAATAACCCAGGAAGATTCCTGCATCATAAAAATAATATCTTAGGGTTTTAATCACTTAGAATAGAAGAGGCATTGATAAGACAATTGCTGATTCTACTTTTTGTTTGAGCCTCTCCAGGCTCAGAGTTAGCCTCAATATATCTAAGGAGTGCAAGATGGCAGTAGATTTTTTGACTAAAATACTGAGAAATCCCTTCACTTCTCTATTCCTCACTGCAGAACATGTGTAGATTTTGAGTCTTAATTATATGATTTTTCATAATTTTTTTGTTTTTATGTTTTTAGTATTTGAAGGTTAAAATAAGCCAAAAATGGGAGTAATAAACCTGATTAAATAGTCTTTAGTGGTTTCATTTTCCTGACTAGAAACACAGAAATAATGGATCAAAAACTCAACTTATCCATCTTAATTTTTTCACTACAGTGGGTTTAGTGTTATGCATATAACACCCAGCAAGTCTTTATTGATTTCTGACAGAAACAAGACATTAAATAATTGAACAAAAGAGACAGAACAAAGGGAAGACTGAATTGCCTTCTGATTTTATAAACATCTTTGTGAAATGAAGTCTCCTTCCTGTCCTGCATCTCCTCAGGCGAGTGTGGAGGGGCGCAGGGAGAAGAAACGGCAAGAGAAGGCTCATCAAACCCAAGCACGTTACCACGTCCAATTTGTCTCAAATGGTCTTGTTAGAATGAGACTAATGGTCACTATCAGCAGCACATCACAGCCAAGATTAAATTCCTGAAAAGGATGTGTGCAGAACTTGCTTGGGGGTAATATTAGTCCAAATTGATTCAAGGACACAGTCAAGTAGAACACATCCCCCACAGCATGAGGCCCAGTACTCTGATTATCAGCCTAGGAGATGCCACAGGTTCATCCTGTCCTGATTCCCAGAATTTGCCGTTAAGCCTGACTTCTCTGAAACAAGATAGGTGCAGATCTAAATGACCAGTAAGTATCCTGGTTTACAAGGTCATTGCTGACCACAGAGAGCAGGCATGGAGTTTCTGTCTTGGATGTGGAGGAGAGGAGGAAACCAGTCCAAATGAAAGGCAAGATAAACATTTATAGAGATGCTTAACTGTTTTATAATAGCCAGTGTAAATGCCTCTTGGTCCCGGAAGTGATGATCTCAACTGGAAGAGCTCTCTCCCTCTATTGAACTCTTATCACATTTGCTTTTTGAATCTCCTACACGTCAATGATACTCACTGCCTAGATGAGTATACTCACTGCCTAGATGCCATAGCTTGTCAGTCACAGAGAGATTTTTCCATTCTACTTGTCTGATGGTGCATTCCCTGAAGCATTAATCTATCCTGCAATATGCATGTCAGATTAATGTGTAAATTAATAATGGTTCAGTTTGCCCAAGTTTAGTCTAATTGATGAAAGCTACAAATAACTCAAAAACTTAGAGTACAAATATTTTAGCCCCATATACCGTGACTATAGCTATAAGCAACTCTGGCACTTTCTTAACTAGAACCATGGGAGAATATTTTATTCTCTCTAAGCACTGGTGGTTTTCTTCTTTATTTTCTTCATTAAAAAAAAAAAATCTACATAGTCCCTGACACACATTTAAACTTGCTTGATAATGTTCTGGTTCTTGACAAGAAAAATGAAATCCAGGTTACTTATTGGCCTGTTTAGCTCTCCCTTCTTTCCTGCAATATATCTGCTCACGTCCAGCCTCAAGTTCATAGACATTTATTGAGCTTTCACCCCAGGACCAACAGTAACCTGAGCACTGTGGATGGGGATACAAATAAATACACCTGCCACTTTTTGATGTCTATTCATGGGTCAGACATTGTACATCCATCTTTAATCCTCACAATAAAGCTCACTCTGCAGTTTACCAGGCTAGAGTATGTACAGGACAACACTTTGTAATTGTTCTCCCTTATGCACAGACTGTTTACATGTACAGGTCATTCTAGAGTTATAAAGTGGTAAAACAATAACAAAAGGGTAGTTAAAAATTAGTGACCTTGACAGAGAGAAAAGGATCATCTAGAATATAAAATAAACTATAAAAATATCTACATCAGCTCCTGAACATTTTGCAACTGATTATTTCATGAGCCATGATAACAGCTTTTGTAAACTATATGTTCATGGTTTCATAGCATGTTTATTGTTCATTATGAGGACCTATAGTGGAGTCTTAGGGAATGCTCACATATAGAGGGTGGGCAAAAGTGGGAGCCCTCAGAGAGAGAGAGAGGGCAGGGGGAGAATTTAAAGTTAGAAGTTAAGGAAGAGAGATTTAAGACGGCCAACGGGTGAGCAGAGTCAAATTCAGCCCACAAGTCAGGAGTTCGCCCTTAATGGTAGCAGTTTCAGTGAAGTAGTAAGGCTTAGACCTGATAAAGGGAGTTAAAGAAGAAATGGAAAGCAGTGACTTTCCATCCCTAGAATTATCCAACGAAAGCAAAAGGAAGGGATAAGAATGGAAGAGGTGAAGTGCTTGGGGTTGGGGGTGGCAGGGTGCATGGTTTTCAGACTGGAGCATGACACTTGCTTGCTCTAGTGGAAAACAGTCCAGAGGGGGGAAAAGCAGTTAAGAGTACTAAAATGGCAACAGAAGCTGGCCTTGGGCAGGAGGGATATAGACAACATTTTTTTCTTTTTTTTCCAATGGTTCAATTCTTTTTTTTCTAATGAGAGGATTGAAATTATATTTAAAAAAGAGAAAATGCTTTTTTTTAAAAGGGATTGCTTTTTTTAAAAAATGAGAGGAGTCAAAAATACCTTCCATGCAGAGAAAGTCTATTTTCTCCTCTGAGATTTATTTTCTTCTCCTTGAGAAGAATGTGGGTAAAAAGAAAAAGAAATACAGAGAATCTTGAAAGTGAGGAGAACAGAGATCAATTGAGCTCATGCAGAACACAGTCTTCTGCTAATTAAAAGGCATGGAAATGCACCAAATATAAGGTGGTTAATGGGGTTTAGGAGTTTGGAAGAACATGGGAAATCTTTGTAGTGGTCACTGTTAAAAATGCGGTAAGAGACATACAAATATTCTCTAGGGATAAGAAGAATTTTTCCAAAACAATTCAAACTTCTGGAAGAAAAAGGGGGCTGGAAGACCAGAGAAGAAAATAATCCAGTAAATGTCAGCCTCAGGTTTTCTTCCAAAACTGCTTCTCTCTGAATCCCTGTTCAGCCAAATAATTCAAATATCTATGTGGGATATTAAAGCCGAGAATCAAAGCAGGAAATGTAGCACTATATTTATTTTTTAAAAGTTAATTCCAACAGATCAATAACCTCCACATTGTTTATTTCAAAATAGACTTTTTGATCTTCTGTTATAATGAAATATGGTTCTTATTCTCTCCCAGTGCCTGGTTCCTGTTGCTCCACATTAAATTAACTTCCCTTTTTCTAAATGCAGAAAACTCAATTATGCCTCACTTCCGGCTTGGGATCACTTTGAAGTAATAAAAGGAGGAGAGTGGAAATATCCACTTAGGTTGATGAAAAAAAATTTAAAAGGAATAACCCATCTCTCTAGCTCCCAACCAATCCAGCTACATGAGTGTAAAGGTCATTTGGAGAAAAGATTGGCCAATTTATACAAATGTTAAATTTTAAAAGAAATGGAGTTTCAAAGGCATTCCTCTATTTTTACCACACTTCTGTGATCTCTGCAAAGCTTTTAGGTAGTAGAGTGAAGGGTCTTGAATACGTTTAGCTCTTCTCACTTTCCTTTCTTGATTTCAGGGGTGTCGTTGTTTTAAAGAGAAGATGGAGTGTATTTGTCTAGTCAGTCATGGACTGTATAGTTAGTGTACCTACAGTGAACATCGTGAATGCTGTGAGTAGTGACATTAAGTTACAGTAATGTCAATGAAATTGTGGATTACGATCACTGCCATAACATCTTGAATCTTTGGAATTTTAGTTTCCCTCCATGCCTAAATAAATAGACGTGTGTGGGGCCGGTGGGGGAGGACTGCAGAAGTCCTATAGAATATTAATTTATGGACTAGGGAAGAACTGTTTGATGTGCTTTAAATAGAAGCATCTGGTCAAGTATTCGTTCCTGCACCAAGGAACAGTCTTCATTTCCTCTGTTGGACCTTGAAGGGACAATGTGTTGGAGAAGAAACTATTAGACTTAATTGTCTGTCTTGATATCAGCCTCTTCTTGAGGGAACTGTTCCCACTTATATCTCCCTGCTGAGGAAGCAGTCTTGGATATTTCCTGAGCAGGTGAGCATCCGGTCATTGTAATTAATTGGATCAAGAAGGCTCACATCACCCAAGGACAGCAAGTGAACAGGTATTTTTAACCATACTTTTGGGACAGAAATAACTGATGAGGTGGCTGGTGCCATTTTATAAGATATGGCCCATCTCTCCAACGATGTCCCAAGATGGGGGTCTTATCTTTTTTGTTTAAGCATCCTGCCAGTAAGAAATATTATGCTCCATATACATGATCCTTGGTGAGTCACTGAAGGGGGTAGTTCTACAGAGGGATGGTTCTCTCCACTCGAAGAAGAGCCATCCTCCAGAGGTAGAAAGTGGAATCCATAATCATGACTCACTTATGGGTCTTGGCTGGCTTCTCCGGCTTCTCATTGTATGGAATGACAAGGTCAATGGCAGATTCTGGCTTCTGGAGGAGAATTCCCAACTTGATCTTAATCTCCTTGGCCCTGAAAGAAGAGACATACGAGGGAAAAGGACACTGCATGAGCATAGAGATCTAAGAAAGAGATTTCTTTCCATGTCAGAGAAAGAAAAATGAAACCATTTCACTGTGGTGGTGGAAAGAATACTAAAACAGAAATTGGGATACATAAGTTCTAATAACACTTATCAAGCTCTTAATACATCCCTGGATAATATGTGTTATCTCATTTTAATCTCAATTGTTTCATATGTATTTTTTCACATTCTGTATAACAGATACTATAGTATTCCCACTTTACAGATGAAGAGACTAATGACAGAGAATTCAAATAATTTAAGATAACCCAGCCAGTATGTGATAGAAATGGACTTGACCCCACGCTATTTGATTTTAAATTCACAAGTACAACTCAGTGTATTGCCTACCAGTCTTCTGAGGGCTCTGGTCCTAGCTCTGCCACTAATTAGACATGTAACATTTGGAAAAAGGTAATCATTTTTTTTTCTCTTGCTAGACCTCAGTTCCCTCATCTGCAAAATGACAGTTAACCGAGATGTTTCCTTTAGCTATTTCCAGCTATAAAGTTAAATTACTCTGCTTTACGATTAATTCTCTATAAAATGGTCTTCTTTTATACGCATTTGATTTTTTGCAACCCTTTGCCCATTGTTCCACAATGGTTCTGGTAGTAGTATCCTATATGCAGTAAGCCTTCAGTAGATGAGTGTTAATTATCAATGGTCTGACTGTAACAGCATTATACTACTCCTTTCTGTCTTTAACATTTTGGTGAATATATGTGGTCAGAAGTCTGGTCACTTCTGCATCCTAGGATACAAGTCTTTTTATGCCCAGTTTCAAAACTAACTTCCTAAATTACTCTTTATTTTTTCACAAGTCTGAATTAATAAAGTACCAAGCAGATCTTAAAAATTAATCCATACGACAAGCCATTGTATATTGAGAGACCCAAAACGCTGTCCTTTCACTGCCACCTTAGCACTTCACTCATGCTCTTAAGATATGGTTTATCATATTGCAGGACTTCCCTGGTGGCTCACTGGCTAAGAATCTGCCTGCCAGTATAGGAAATGCAGACTTGATCCTGTCTGGGAAGATGCCCTGGAGAAGGAAATGGCAAGCCGCTTCAGTATTGTTGTCTGGGAAAATCCTATGGACAAGAGGAGCAGGGCAGACTACAGTATATGCATGAGATTGCAAAGAGATAGACATGATTAGCAACTGAACAATTATCATATTGCATTATGGTTACTGACTTAGGTGTCTGTTTCCCACACTGGATATAAGACGTCTTTGCAGGAGGGAATTGAGTCTTAAATATCTTTTAACTCCTGTGCATAGCATGAAGCTTGGCAGCATAGTCAACTTTCAAAAATATTTGCTAAAGTGAACTAAACATATCTTGATTTTTCTTTCTTACAAATCTGCTAACATTTATCTCCCAGTCAATGCTGATCATAATCAAAGTCTCAGAGAGCTGTAATGGGGTTGTGATGTCAAGTTGTGGTCTAATAGAATTGTGTTACTATAAACACACTTTCTTCATCCATTCACATGAAGACAGTGCTGAGGTGATTAAAAACTATAAAATGCATGAGATTAGCAATTATGGATAGTAGGGACAAAAAGGAAATATAGTATATAACTTTATAAAATCATAAATATTCAATCATATCATAGGTTCCTTCAGTATAGTAAATGTGATTTTGGAACTATTGGTCGCTTCCACAGTGTCTTTTCCTTTTCAGTTCCTTCTGTTTCTCTTCTTTCCCTGGGACCCACTGTCTGGTAGAAACCAACTCGGGTACCACACTATAGCAGATTGAACTCAGCTGTGCCCAACATTATGGCTGAGGTGAGAATGTTCCGCCAAGCGAGCTTATATAAAACATAAGAAGAAGAATAAGCATCAGTTTGATTCCGGACTTTACAAGTTGCTTAAATTATCTAATGCTTAGTTTTTTGCCTAGAAATTGGGACTAATAAAATAGTACATGCTCATAGATTCTGTGATGATTTAATACATTAATGCATGTGAATCACTTAGAGCAGCATGTAATACTGCTTCTTCAAAGTTAGTTCTAACTACACAATCATTCTATTTCAGCCAAATTCAAGCCATGTTCCCTAGCTTTGAGTACCAAAGTAAAACGTTCAAAAACTTCCCACATGTTACTAAGAATTAATACATCCACTTCCTCCCATATTCTACCTCTAGAGACAAGAACTGCCAATTTTATCTGAAGGAAGAAAACAGTACTTGGCCGTGAAAATGCATGCAGTATGCGTGGCTACCCCCTGCTGGCCGGTGTGTGGAACTGCAACCAGAAACACTCGGCTCACCTTTTCCATCAAGACAGGATAACCTACCTAGACCTTGAAGAGTTCCATCCAGGATACCTCTCCTCCTGGTCCCATTCGCCCCTCACTTCCTGACCGTAGGAGAAGGCATGACGCCACTGTTTCACTAGACCCAATAGTTCACTGTGCTGTGCTTATTTGTGTCCGACTCTCTGCGACCCCAAGGACTGCAGCCCACCAGGCTCCTCTGTCCATGCGGTCTCCAGGCAAGAACACTGGAGTGGGCTGCCATGCCCTCCTGCAGGGGATCCTCCCAATCGAACCGAGGTCTCCGGCATTGCAGGCGGCTCTGTTCCCATCTGAACCACCAGGGAATGCCTCTCATGCTTTGCTTTTCCCCCTCTCAACTTCTATTTCTTTTTCTCTTTAGCCCCACTCGCTTTTGTAAAAGGCAGAGATATTGTGTTTGATTGCCTAGTGAAAGAGTAAGTTGGATTACGAAGAGGTTATTAGAATGAAGGTGTTCAACGATTTTAAATTTCGTTTATTCGTAACTACTTTCCTCCTTGATCGTGTTTACCGTGTCATCAGTATGCAGAAAACACTCAGAGAGTTTTGCCTTTACCTGCAAGGTGCTAACAGCCTATTGACGTCGCAAGCTTGTGAGCCAGCCCTAGCGGCTGTTCAAGAAGCAGGCAGCAGAGTACCGGTGGAGGAGCCCAGCGCTCGCAGGAGGGGCCAGGAGGGCTTCTCGGAAGAGGCAAGGGTGGAATAGCAGTCAGCAAGGTGGACAGAAAAGGCTGGGACTTCCGGGCTCGGAAGAGAATGTTCATATCATTTGAAAGTGTGAGTCGCTCAGTCCTGTCCGACTCTCTGTGACCCCATGGACTGTAGCCCTCCAGGCTCCTCTGTCCATGGAATTCTCCAGGCAGGAATACTGGAGTGGGTAGCCATTCCCTTCTCCAGGGGGTCCTCCTGACCTGGGGACTAGCCTGAGTCTCCCACGTTGCAGGCTGATTCTTTACCAAGCCACTAGGGAAGTCCATTTGAAGGGATGCAAAAGTGCTTCTGCATTGCCTGAGTGTAAAGTAATTGGAGAGGGCAGAAAGCAGTATTCATGAAGTCTGTTCACTCTGTCTCCCCTTCCTGATAGAAGGGTGGGTGAGGGAGGAACCTCTGTATAGTATGCAGCCTTCAGCAAATTCTGTATGAAAGACCAAAAAGAGGTAAAATGATTGAAAGTTGCCTTCAAAGAGGTGGCATCCTATCTTATAAACTCGTTTCCAATGTTTCTTTGCTAAGTCTTTCAGATGCATTTACTCATTTAAAAATACTGTCTATAAACAGTGGTTAAATTCTCCAAGACATCCTACAAAAGCCTTTTAAAACCAGAGTGAATCAGAACCCTTGTATAATTTTATCTGTATTATTATTTAAAATTGTCTTTTTGAAAGATAATCTAGAAATCAACTGCCATTTATAACACTGCCTATAGAAAATCATATTTCACTTCCTCAAAGTAGAGAAACACATGGGAACATAAGATTGCTCTTTTCCTCATACTTGCCCTGGGGATGTAAGGGAGAAAGGAAATGCAGTGCTTCAGAAAATACTCCCTCTTATGGTTCAGTGTAGGTTCACAGGTATGACATTAAAATGTCAGTGGACTTGAAAAGTCCATTTGATTGAATTAGCACTTTGAGAGAATACGGAGAGTGAACAATATTACTGTTTCTCTTATAAAACAATAAAGGTTTAAAAGCTGAACAGCTTGACTGATGCTGAAGTAGAAACCACTTGAAATACCTTACTCTTTTTGTAAGAATAAACAGCATTACTACATTTGTTTTTCTCCTTAAGACCCCTGGATTACTTTCATTCCACTTTCACCCCTTCCTCCCCACCACAGTGACACATACAGCTACGGGAATGAAAAAACAGTAACAACAACAACAAATGGAAAATCAAGCAAAACAAAAGCTCAAATTTTCTATTTATATTCCCCTTTAAAAACACAAGGCTTCCCTGTGGCTCAGCTTTTAAAGAATCCGCCTGCAATCCGGAAGACCTGGATTCAATCCCTGGGTTGGGAAGATCCCCTGGAGAAGGGAAAGGCTACCCACTCCAGTATTCTGGCCTGGAGAATTCCATGGACTGGATAGTTCATGGGGTTGCAAAGAGTCAGACATGACTGAGCAACTTTCACATCACTATAAAAACAAGCTTTAATGTATCTGACATTCATTTAATGTCAAAACAACTCCATCTAGAAAAGGAAACTTTCTAACATGACTTCAACTCTGTCCTTGGCTCTATTTGACCGCCCACCAGGCAGTTTCCCGTTATGTTACATTAAGGCTTGTTAACAGGAACCAATTCATATCTCCTCTCGTCTCACTCCCAACCTTGTTATCCTTTGGTTTTACAAAGAAAAACTTGTTTTGAAATAAAATCATTGGAAATGCCTGGGTGAAAATTTTAATTAAGGGTTCAGAGGAAGATAATCTTTTCCCTAGATGACTCACATTAGTGATTTCAAACTGAAAAGAGTTTGAATAATTGTATGGTTGTGAAATTTTAAATCCGTCCCTTGTGTGGGTATGTTTTCAAAAGGCCCTGGGCTACCTCAGTCCTTCCGACTAATTGGTGAATTGAGGGAAAGCTGTTACCTTTTAGGGTGAATAAGTGTGGAAAACAGTA